TAACTGGTCTTCAGAAGTATACTGCTGTTGCACATGGAGATTTTCAATTTCCTGCCACAGCTACTAGCTGTTCATAGAACTGCCATTTTCTGTGAATTTGTCCAACGGCCTTTGAAAACTATCCAAGCCAATGGAGGCACATAAAACCTCTTTATACCAAGTCAGACCTTTGGTCCATCAGGGTCAATGTTGTCTACTCTGCCTAGCATAGCTCTCCCAGAGTCCCCAGCAGAGATCTTTCACATCACTGACTACCGGATCCTTTATTTATTTGGAACATTTTTATGTTGCCTCTCCATGACCCTGCCAGAGGTGTCTTACAAAAGAAATAACTGGAGATGCCAGAGTTTGAAACTGGGACCTCCTGCACATAAAGGATATGCACTACCACTAAGTCAGAGTCTCTTCTTGGAGGGACGGAAGGACTACCACTGTATTTTAAGAGATGATTCCCACAAATTCATTATGCACTATGTTTAGGACTTCCTCCTTCCTTTCTTGGTACTGCATCTGCTGCCCTGAGTTCTCATATTATAAGAGAAAGTTTTTCTTTCTTCTCTCCACTTGCTCCGCATTATGCATCATTGTGTAAATCCCTTGCACGTTGCCTATGCCTTCTTGATGCTCTCCAAACAGCATTTTGGCCTCCATCCCTCTTTTGGTTCCTGGCCATTGCTCAGCAGCTGAGCCACTGCTCCCAAGACAGCATGGGAAGAAAAGAGAGCCTCATCTATCCGATGGAACGGCAGACACACGCTGCCCTCTCTGAGTACAGAGAAGCAAAAACACACAGCTCGCTTCCTGCCGGCAGGAATCTAGAAAGGTAAGTACCTTCTGTGGCAGAGCACCGTGCCCTAGAAAATGCTTCTGAGAGCCTATCATTCATGATTAATGCCAACATGCCCTGGAGACGGCACCATTAAAAGACGCTTTGGAATGACAGGCAACACAGCATGCATTATTTAACAGCCCTGAACAGGCACATCATTTTTTTTTTACCATCAGAAACAGCCTTGCTGCATCAGCTCAGCTTTCCTTCACAAGCATCATCAAGTCAGTTTGTTGCATTCCGGCATAATTGAGAGGCTAAGGATTACTGATGTTAATTTCTGGCAGGTCTTGAACAGCTGAGTGGCAAAGCATGAAGGCAAAGCAAGGAGAAGAGCTTTGCCCGGTGCTTTTCCTCCAGTCCCACAGCTGATAAAGGCACAGGATCTCTGCCAGAAAAAAGCCTGGCAAGCAAACATGGATCAGCAAGCTACAACACTATGCCATCACAGTCGCCCTGGCATCTGAGCCCATGCACTACATTTCAGACATGGCTATATTTGTAGTATTAGGCCAATAACCTTTTTGATTAAGTCACCGCATGTTACCAACTTACACACGAAGAACCCACCTCCATCCACCATCTGATGTGCAAAACCACTTGACACAAGCCAATACACAGCAGACAGCAAATGGTGCAGCCCACTGGATGCCCAAATGACATTTGGAGAGAGTTGGAGCACTCATGATTCAGAGCGAATCAAGACACCACCAACAATAAATTGCACCATAATTTGATACAGAGGACAGAGCGACTCTTTGTTATTTATTGTTGAAGACCCAATTTTTAGTGCGCGAGAGGCATCCCAGGTTGGAGGTTCGCTAAGCAGAAAGCTTTCTTGGGGCTTACAGCCTGTGAAGAGGGAAATGACAGGTCCGGGGATTCTCCTATAGTTTCACCTTTCTCTTGCATGCACCTTGATCCATCACTGTCATCTTCCTCCACCTTTGGTCCACTTGTCTTTTGACCACACCACACTTTACTTTCCGAGATATGGGTATGGCTCAACGTCAATTTACAAATGTAACATGTCTCTGTTATTTCCTAGATATGTATGCGGCATGCTCTGAGAAGCTGATTTAGTAGAACATGAAGCTGAGGAACTACCAATCTGGAATGATCTTCCAATGCATTCTTAAACTATTTCTCGTGGAGTTTTCCTCAAGAAGCAGCTCAGGGGAAGTTTCTTCAAGAAGCAGCTCAGGGGAAGTTAACATGTGAAATGCCCCTTCTATGTGGGCTTCTGAGTGTCACTTCTGAATTCTGTACACATTGTTGGCGCTGAATGCACTACACAGGAAGAGTGCTTAGGCTTGAAGCTTTAGATGTTCTCTAGAGCAATTCAAATGGTGTCCTACATCACCATCTGCTTGTGGAACTTTCCGCAGCACAAACATCGCATGGAGCTATGCCAGGAGCACCATATTTCACCTCCCCATTTCAGTCATACAATGGTGGAAGATAAAGAACAGCCCACAAGCCATTTAACGAGGGACAGTCGATTTCCCCCTAGTTTAGTCCCAACCAGGATCCAATCTCTCTTTTCTTCTTGGGATTCAATCCTGCATCCTTCCACTGAACAGAGGATCATCCATCGACCTTTGATAAATCCAAGGGTTTTTCCTCCCCATCACTTTAATTGTTTAATGCAAATTAAGTGACTCTCCAATGAGATATGAAAAATATACCAAGGGAGAGAGTTACTTATCTTGCTTTAAAAATCTTACTGAATCCTACAGCATGTTTTTCAAGAGATGCCTGAATCTCAGGAAAAATCCCTAGTGTCCATGCTTCCTCAGACTGATTCGGCATTTACACATCAATGCAGAAGAGAGCCCACCATTTGTGGTATAGATATGGCACGTTCTTGCAGTGAAGCATTTTCAGACCGCCCTACTTATGAAAGGACACACAAAAATTTCAAGTACTGCAAGTGAAGCACGGCAAATTTTATTCAAAGCAATCCATCACCAGAGAAATAAGCACTGGATAGCAAGGGAGAGACGTTTTACACAGCCTTTTGCATTCTCTGAGAATTACACGGGTTAGCTTTCAAGTTACATATTCAAATGACATACAGAAGCACAAAGGACACAAACATCAATCTCACAGAACAACCCTTAGCAAATACAAACACGAAAGGATGTGCCCTGAGCAAGGTGCCTAATCAGTGCTATACAGTAACCTTCTATTGACCAAGGCAAATTTACATACTACCTTGAGTGATCTTTGATTGGAATGTTCCCTCTAAGCTGTGGAGTCTTGTGAGCAAGAATTCTACCTTGTGAGCTACTGGCATTAAGGTTGTGAGCAAGCAATTTAGCTACTGCATAAATTACTTTGCTCTGGAGCCATCCTTCCTCAGCTGAGACAAAAATGTGTGAGCCAGAGGCTAAAAAACTGTGAGCTAGCTCACACTAACTCACCTTAGAGGGAACACTGGTTGGAACCACACATTACTAGTCATCTTGGACAATCAAGTGTCCAGTTGCTGCTTCTCAGCTGCAAAGAGGCATTAGGAGGGACTTACAGCAGAGAAGCAGCAATCAGGCAAAAGAAGGCTGCTTTCCTCCTCCCAGTCCCCCCTGACTTGGATAGCCTAGGCTAGCCTGATCTCATCAGATCTCAAAAGCTAAGCAGGGTCAGCCCTGGTTAGTACTTGGATGGGAGACCACCAAGGAAATCTAGGGGTTGCTACACAGAGGCAGGCAAGGGCAAATCACCTCTGAACGTCTCTTGCCTTGAAAACCCCATGAGGGGTTGCCATAAGTCAGCTGTGACTTCATGGGGCAAAAAAACTGCATCGCAGTTGCTCACAACACCTTGCCATTCCACATTTGTGAATCAAACTTGATCTGTAAGGAAGATTTGTGTGTTCATTATTTTTACTTTACATATTCATACTGCTCTCTCTCTCTCAAAGGTTTTCAGGGTACCGCATATGCTTCTCTGCCCTCCCCCCCCCCACATTATCCTCATAACAACCTTGTGAAGTTAGGCTGAGACATAATGACTGTCTGGAAGTCTGCCAGCGAGCTTCAAGGCTGAGGGCCAAACTACACACTACAGTTTACATACATTGCCTGTCATGCTGCAGCTGCCAATCCTGGTGGCAACTCCTGTGTAAAAGAGCCATGGGAGGCTTAATTTGGATAGGGATCATGGCAGGAGGAGGGGCTCCTGCCTCCCCCCCCCCACCATTTTCCAAAGCTTAGATAGCGGATGTGAGACAGGGAAGAAATTCTTTGTCCTGTCAGGCAAGTGCACATGTACTGAATGCTTGCATGTGCAGTGCTTGGTAAGGCAGCAAAGAACTCCTCCCCCTGCCCCCTGGGCCATTAAGAAGGGAAGGTAGGTGTCTCTCTCCATGCCACAGTCCTAATATGGATGGAGCCCCTAACTCATGTAGCAAAACCAGTGCCAAAGGGACTAACAGTAGCTAGACGGTGTGAAGAAGTGCCCACTGTCTTGTGGAAACTAATGGCTGATCTCAGCAAACAAGATCAGCCTGTATGGCCAACGCAGGGTTGCAGCCTGGCCTCGGGGAAAATGTCCTGTCTGTTAATGTGTGCAAAAGTTGAAGCTTTTCATGGCATGGAGATGAACATCATCATCTGGCAAATAAGATCTCAGAAAGCCTCTATTAAAAGGACAGGAATCCCCCCCCCCCAGGCCAGCTGGCAACCCTAGCAAAACTAGATATGACCAAGGGAGATCCATCCTTCTAAAAACTGTACACAGCAGCCTCAGGGGCCCCTCAATCTGGCTCAGGTCCACCATAAGGGGGAAGGGGGCTTAAACCTTTTCTACCTCCTTACTGTTTTCATGCTCCGTTCCCTACCCTCTCATCCCCCAGGTTGCTTTCTCCTGCATGAGAAACATGCAACTACCATCCAAGCACCTGTTGTTTTTGTCCTGAGTGGTGGTGGTGGTGGGGGGGGGGGGGGACAGTGGAGCAACTGGTACTATGAAAATAGTGTGGTGGAGGGAAGAGCGACTCCTGCTTAATGCTGTAGGCCTGATTTGACCCCACCCCACCCCATTTCTTTGTTAGGATGAATTCACAATCCTTTTCTTTGAAGAAACCAGCTGAGTCTCAAACAGGGTCTTATAACCAAAGAAGAAGATAACAGAGGCCCCACTCATTCCTGCATTCGCCCGCAAGACTCACAGATCGAGGGGGTGAGGGTACTTGTCCTTCTCCTTCACAGGCAGCACAAAATACGGATTCCGATGCACCGTCCCAGTCTTGTCTCTGTAATGCTCCCGATGCATTTGGGAAAGCTACAGGGGAAATGCAAATTGGTCAGGAGCTTTCCTTCTGACACAGGATTAGGTTTCACAACAGTATGGTCACCTAGGGTGGCACCCAGTATAATTTTCCTTTCGGATGACCCAGAGGATAGCATTTATGCTCAGATTTGGAATGGACACTTCCCTCCATCACCAAATCAAAGTAGCTATACAACAGACCCTCCTCCCCCCTTCCATTGGAACATGGCTTGATTCTTTTGCTTGTATAAGCTATGCAAACCAAATACATCCAACAAGTTGTGAACTGTGGCCTGGCAGGTACTCAATAGCCTCCTTATTTTTTGAGATCTCAGGTAGGCAATGAAAACAGGTCTGATTGGTGACTTGTGGCCTGCGTATGGTCTGGTGGATGACATGTTGTACCGGCCCAATCCAGAGCGGGTCTTTCTGTAGAGTCTTGGCATGGTGTGGCTGAGATTGCATGGGGGCCAGTGGATGGGTGGCCCTGCCTTTCTGACAAGAAAATGCTCAACTAGATGGCTTTCGGTTCCTTTAAACTCCATCTGTTTTCAAACCCAACTCTGGATAATCAGCAACAGCAAGGCTAAAAGTTTTAGAAAGATGCAAGAGATATCAAAGCACAGAACATGGACATTTGTCAAAACAGTAAGTCATTTAAAAATTTGCTCTTTAAGCCAGAACAAATGAACAAAGGAAAAAAGACATCAGCATAGTAAATGTGCACTGTAGTGTCTGAAACCTCCGCTGCTGTTAGCCGCGAGAGCTTAGACTCACTTGATTGAAGGGAGCCCTCCGTAGCCAGTGGTTCAGCCACTGAGGTGTTATCTAATGTGTCTGAACATTCCAGTTCCTCAGAAGTGTAAAAAACCCTGTCATCACATAAAGCCTACAGACAGATGGGGCTGAGCAAGAAGGGGCGCAGAGAAGGCAGAAATCAGCACTGTTGATAGTCACATGTTTTGACTGGGAAAACAGCTGGTAAGGAAAGAGTCAGGCACCCACCCCCCATTATTTTGATGCCTCTTTTGCTCAAAAATTCCAGCCTCTAAAGGTTGCTCTTTCCTTTGTTTTAAAAGGGAGGGTTTTATTAACATATTTGCATGTAGTGTGTAGTCTGCCCATAAGAAGGTCAATCTTCAGTTTGGCAACTGACCTGTAAACTGTGTGGGCAGAGAATCCATTCAACAAAAGCCACCAGCAACCTTTTAGGGAAACTTCAAACACCACTTTTTAAAAAAGCTTCCTTGACCATCCCCCAACCCATCAGCACTAATAAATGAGAGGATGATCTGAATAAACAGTGTCTGTTCTCGACTCATTAATTTTGGCAACCCACTGCTAATTATTTATAGCTCATGTAACTGGTGCAGACTCATGTTAAATTGGAAGAGGAGATGCACGTGCACACACTCACCCCTCCCTCTAGTTTTGCAAAGCAGGAGAATTCAGCCAAGCTCAGCACAGCAGGATCTAGCAGAGGGCCCTCTTCTGGATTCAACAAGGCAGCATGACCCACCAGCAGACATAGCCATTTGTGCACAAAGCCCCACACTCCCACAACACACCCACACACCCTGGCATTCACAAATGTGCTCAAGAGCATCCCTTCTGTTACTGCTCTAATTATTCCAAAGCACAAACAAAATGTCTAGGAGTCACAGACATACCACACATGCAGAGAACAAAGAGACTGGAGAGACTGAACGGAGACACCTTGCTTGTGGGTTTCCAGGAGGCACCTGGCTGGCCACAGCTGAAAGCAGGATGAAAGGCTAGCTGGATCCTTGGTCCAATCCAAAAGGACACCAGAGGAGTCCTGAGCAGTCATATAGCCTAGTGTTATTCCCAAACTTTTCCAGGAATCCTTTGAGAATCTATCAAGGGCTTAGCAATAAATCTGTCTAGAGTTCAACAATAAAGGCACACAAGCTTACCTAAAAAATAGCTTATCCAGTAACACTAATCTTCCCTATGAAAATGTGCAGTGTGCTAGTGATAGTGCACACTCTGTAAATTGAGTGAAGTGGACATTCAAAAGCCTAAGTTTGCGCTCACATGAACTGTCTGGTGTAGTGGTTAAGTGCGTGAACTCTAATATGGGAGAACCAGGTTTGATTCCCCACTTCTCCACTTACACGTGGCTGGATGACCTTGGGCAAGCCGTAGTTCTGATAAGAGCTGTTCTTGAAAAAGAGCAGTTTCTGTCAAGAGCTCTCTCAGCCCCACCTACCTCACAGGATGTCTGTTGTGGGGAGGGGAAGGGAAGGAGTTTGTAAGCTGCTCTGAGACACCTTTGGGTAGTGAAGGGTGGGGTACAAATCCAATCTCTTCTTCTTCTGAATGAGTACTCTAGGACATGCCCCACACCAGTGTTCCCTCTAAGCTGAGTTGGTGTGAGCTAGCTCATAGTTTTTTAGACTCTAGCCCACACATTTTTGTCTTGGCTCAGGAAAGACGGGGCTCCAGAGCAAACTAAGTCATGCAGCTGCCAAATCACCTGCTCACAACTTTAATGCCAGTAGCTCACAAAGTAGAATTTTTGCTCACAAGACTCCACAGCTTAGAGGGAACATTGCCCCACACCACAATCCTCTGCACAAGGGTTTCAAGGCACACACCCATGTCAATATGGAAGAGTTCTCTGAAGATAGACAACTTCAGACTTACTTCCTATTGCAGTGCCTACTTCTGATGTTATAAAGTGCAGAGCAAGAAAAGGGACAGGTGTACAGACAGAGCAAGACAGGACAAATTGATTGTGGATAGTGTTGGAGAAAAGCAGAAGAGGGGCTTGAGCAAGGAGGTGGAGAAAGCACACAGGAATCAACATTCAGCAAGAAGATGAGACGTTGACCTACAGGAGCAACCAACAGCGGACTTAAGAGTGAAAGGAACTTTCAGAGATTCAGTGCCCAGCAGTGGCTAAAAAATCACTTATAGTTTTATTTAAGAGACTAGTTAACATTTGTAATTCACTGGAGTTCACCATTATTCTACCAAACTACTCTAAAGTAGGAAGCCTCAAGCAGCCATTCCATCCCATCAAACTGTGATCAAGACCTCTTGCTTCTCCTGTTGGTCTTATAGCTAATTCACAGAATCAGCAGATTCAACTTGTAAAGTATTTCTTAATCTTAATTGGTTACTGCTGGCTATTTAAACAGCAATTCTTTGTTTTTATGGTGTATTAGTATTTACTGTTGTTATCTATCTTGGGTCCCAGTTTTCTGGGAGAAAGGCAGGTGTATAAATGCCTTAAATGAATGTGGGCTCTACCACCTCAGGGTGTGCATGTGTTTGAGTGCTTCACCATGAAGAGAAAAAAACCTAATCCATGCATGAAGAAAGCTAGCTTATCAAGGGTGCACTGAGACAACTCCCCCCACACACACATACTCTTGCAATAAGAAATGGTACCACTGATGAAAAAGAGGAAGAGTTGGATTTATACCCTAGCCTTCACTACCCAAAGGAGTCTCAGGGCAGCTTACAACCACCTTCCCTTCCTCTGCCCACAACAAACACCCTGTGAGGTAGGTGGAAGCTGAGAGAGCTCTGAAAGAGCTGTGACTGACCCAAAGTCACCCAGCTGGCTTCATGTGGAGTGGGGAATCAAACTCCAGATTGGAGTCCTGACCAATGTTCCCTCTAAGCTGTGGAGTCTCATGAGCAAAAATTCCACTTTGTGAGCATTAAAGTTGTGAGTGAGCGATTTGGCTACTGCATACATTAGTTTGCTTTCAAGCCCTCCTTCCTGAGCTAAGACAAAAATATGTGAGCCAGAGGCTAAAAAACTGTGAGCTAGCCCACACTAACTCAGCTTAGAGGGAACACTGGTCCTGACACTCTTAACCACTACACCAGAGCGTGACCACCTGATTCTGCTTATTGTATAAACCACCTGATTGAGTGTAAGCTTTTTGAGAAACAGCCATGCCAGTTAGGTGTTCTATACAGCACCTTGCACAAAAATCTTATAACAATAAATTATTACAGGCAGGGCATTTACAACTAATTGTCATCAATTCACAACTCCAGTTATGTGTATAAATAACTACATAGGAGAGGGTGTTTCCACAAAAGTTGCCTTACCTTGTAGAACTCCTTTAGCTCTGCTGAGCGATTAAAATCCAGATTGAAGCGAGAATAGTTAGGAGTGTGCAGCCACCTGTCCCAACCCCTTGCCCTTGCCCCAATTACTAAGTCTGGGTCAGGCGAGAAGAGGGTGGGGAACTGACCCCCCTTGCTGTAAGGACTGCAGCTAGTTTTCATGGCAGCACTGCGGAAATCCTGGAAATATTTCATAGTGGTATTTCCATATGTATCACCAAAGGAATACACCACATTGGGGACATGCCCACAGTACCTGGAGTGAAGAAACAGAGGGAGATTCATGAAACTTTCATGAAAATTTCATGAAACAAGAGATCCAAGCGATTGTCATTATTTTTTTAATTGCTTCTTTAGTACTTCTAAGGGACACAGAGGCTTTGTAATCAGTATCTCCTTTGTCTCCACAACAACCATATGAGGAAAGTGATTATTAGATGCAGAACTGAAGCCAAGGAATCCTTCCGATGAAAATATTACTTATAATAAAAAACCAAAAGCCTCATTTCTCTCCTTCTGGACAAATATGAATGAAAACAAACCACCTGATTAAACAGACAATAGAATTAGATAGTATTCAGCATCAACAGCCAGTGTGGTGCAGTGTTCAGACTGCTAAATTAACATCTGGGAGACCCAGGTTCAAATCCCCACTCTGCCGTGGAACTTGGCTCAGCAACCTTGGGCCATTCACACATTCTCACACTAATCTAACTCACAGGGTTTTTGTGAGGACAAAATGGAGGCGCGAATGACATAGGCCTCTTTAGGTCCCGTTAAGACCAACAAAGACATTCTGGTTCTTTATTTACACTTCCTTTTTGAACTAACATGCAATGCCCACAGGTGGCCACCCCTTTTCTGCAACAGACCAGGCAGAAATTCAGCAGGTAAAGCCCATACAGACAAAAAGATAGGGATGGGGGAAAGGTGGATAGGGTTGCCAGCTCTGGGTAAGGAAGTACCTGGAGATTTGGGGGGTGGAACCTGAGGAGGGCAGGGGTTGGGGAGGGGAATAAGGTTACCAGGTCCCCCCTGGCCACAGGTGAGGGATGGGAGGGGGGTAGGGTTGCCAGATCCGGGTTGGGAAACTCCTGGAGATTTGGGGATGGAGCCTGGGGATCTTTGGTGAGGTACAGTGCCATAGAGTGCACCTTCCAAAGCATCCATTTTCTCCAGGGGAACGGATCTCTGTAGTCTGGAAATGAGCTGTAACTCTAGGGGCCTCCCTAGGTGAATCTACTGAACAACTCCTGCATAATGGCCGCTTCTAAGGGCACAGGAGCCCGGCAGGCCGGCGAGTGCTGGCCACCCCAACCAACGACCCTTGCCCAGGCACTGCGTCCTTAAACAAACATTCGCAGGTTTTCTTCGCTAAGCACCCACCCCGGCATGAGCCCCGGCGGCACGTAGACCGCGTTGTTTTGAGTCAGGAGGGTTCCGGCGCTGCGCGAGGCCATGGCTCCTCCGGCAAGGCAAGGACCGAGACCGTAGTGAAGCTTCCACAGGCGAGCCCGCCGGCACCTCAGTCAGTAGGCCGCGGCAGTCACAAAACCCGTCGCCATAGCGACGCGGAAGGCTGAGCCGGGCGGGTCGCGGAAAGCGCGGCTGGTCCCGTCGACAGACTCATACAGGTTCCCCGTTGCTGTAAAAGTGATTCCCCGTGTAGCACTCCTCCCTCCCCCAAAGTATCGTAGTAGCGCCTAAAAGGTCCACAGTCTTATGATGCTATATGCTATTTTAAGCAGACCTCAGAAATAAATCCCATTAAATTCAACTGAACTTTAGGTTAACACCGTTAAGTGTATGTAGGACTGTGGCCATAAAGCGTCAGACGCTTCCAATTAAAGGCCCTTCGTCCGCAGCTTGGAGATTTCATCCCATGGACCGGGACCACGAACAATCGCGGCCGTGGGAGTAATCGCGTTATCGCGTCCCAGCGAGCCCCTCCGGCTCTGCGCCCTTGCTTGTTGCTTTTGCCGCCGCTTCTTTGCTTCATATTCCGGGCGCTGCTCGAGTTGCCTTAGCAACCATAATGGACGCCGATTCCGAGCGGGCCTGGAAGGAGACACCCCCCCCCCCCCCGCCTGGCACCTGGTGGGTCGGCCGGCCTCAGCGCCCAGGTTTGTATTCCTCGCACGCCCGCAGTAAACATTCACCTGACCAACCGTGGTAAAGGCACAGCCATCTCTCCTATGTTTTACTTTCTTTTGAATACTAGATATCTTATATTCACGTTTCCATTTTCCATATTTGACAGAGAGATTGTGAATAGAACTACCTGTGAAAACAGAAAAGTTACGTTGAGCTAGAATTTTATTAGTGCTCTGTAAAGTAACATTTATTTACAGAGTAGGAAGAAACTTATGGGCGGTTAGGTTTATTTTTATTGTGCATTGTTTTCTAGGGTTTCTGTTTATTTATTTGCTTCACTTACCGTCTTCATTTTGGTTTTATCATATTAATCTGCCTGCAGTTTTAGGAATGTGCCATTTTAAATACACAAATAAAACTCTGGGCCAGGCATAAAGTAGATGGCAACCATGCCTATAAATGGACATATTCTTAACAACACCCATGGGAATTAACAGTAAGGATAGCCTCTCTGGAATTTCTAATCTCTGATTAAAATATAACAACTGGCTAAACAAATAAAATCTTGTCCATTATATTGTAGACAGATGACCAATCTTACCTATCATTTTAAATTTATAGAGTACTAATGTAATCATAGCTAAAAGTAATTTAATTATAATGTATAGTTTATAAACAAATAAAAATGTTCATCAGTATCTGTAGCAAAATATAAATGTTATGTATATAGAATAGTCAAAGGATGTTGTGTGATGGTCCAGATAAAACAAGCAGGGATTAAAAAGGGGATTTGCCTTTGATATGGGTGATTTGATTATTTTTAATTTGTTTATTGTTTGGTGTGATGTTAGTGGTCTATATCAGTTTGTAAGATGCCTTCAATTTTAGTAATGTGGCAGGTTATACATTTTAAATACACACACACACACACACACACAAAAGATGGCGGAAATGTCGATAGGATGGGAATAAGAGTTGTGGATACAGACTGAGGAGGGGATTGGTACAGCTACCAGAGCACATCATAACCCCTGTTTCATTCAGGTGTGGTTGGTCAGCTATGTGTGGGGGTTCCAAAATGACCACAGGCACCATCAGTCTCATTTTCTTTTTTTCTGGGCCAAAAAATAGATAGGTTTTTAAAATGTCAAAATAAAATACAATAAAATTGCAAAAAATGAAATAAAATTGCAAAATGCAAAAGAGAGAGAGTTGGAGATCCCCACCCCTTCAGTTTATACAGAAAAGCAGGACAGAACTGAGGCTCTCCAATTGAGAAGACTGGAGGAGGACTAGAGGTTGCAGCAGAGCTGGAACTTGCTGCTGGTGGTACTGCAGCAAGAGGAGCAGCACTTGTGGCTGGGGTGTCCCCCCCCCTTTCCCCACCACCAACAACCAAAATTTTCTGGCTATGCCCCTGTTTTGTTTGTAGCCATTTGAAACAGGATGGAGAGAACAGGGGTAGATATTGCTGCAGGAGTGTGATAAAATTAATCCAAGCCACAAAATCCTTGCTTTCAAGCACAGAGGGGTCATTTAGTATTTCCTCCAGCATATGCCATGGTAAACCAGTTTTGTAAATCTCTCCTTTGTGGATCATTATTACCTTTTTATATTATAAGAATCCGCCCTGCTCACCATTTTCTAACTGTACATTTCTGGCAAATCACCTCACAAAGCTTTTCTAGTCCTAGGCCTTTGAATAAATAGGTCTGAGCTGTTTGTTGGGTGACACATGACATATGAAGGCATCACTTGCAAGTCAGGCAAACTCACACTCTTCAACTTTTTGGCAATGGAGGAGGTATTGAATGGAAGTAAAGTGACATGCTGCAGCTTGGATATTAAAGAAACAGCCTGCAAGCAGTGGATGACCTTAATTGCAGTAACAGCAACAGCTATGAAACAAGAATTTTCTTGCAGTGGTGGAAAGAAATAAGGAGGGACTTGCGTTCTGCTTTCCCTGAGCTGGACTAGAGAAAGTTGTGTTATGCTTTCAATCTCGCAAGGCTGCATTAAATCCATCTGCACCCACAGTCAATGTTCCCTCTAAGCTGTGGAGTCCTGTGAGCAAAAATTCTACTTTGTGAGCTACTGGCATTAAAGTTGTGAGTGAGCAATTTGGCTACTGCATCAATTAGTTTGCTCTGGAGCCATCCTTCCTGAGCAAAGACAAAAATGTTTGAGCCGGAGGCTAAAAAACTGAGCTAGCTCACACTAACTCAGCTTAGAGGGAACACTGCCCACAGTATGTCATTCAGAAACTCTTAGTATAGTTTATTTATTTATTTGGATTTGTATCCCATCCTCCCCGAAGGCTCAGGGCGGCTAACAGAGGCATAAATGCCAGATTATAACAATAAAAACAGTATAAAATACAATAATACACATACTACAGTTAAATAAAATTCTTAAAATAAATTATCAGTGCTCCATAGTATTAATTGTTGATGGAATGCAGGTCTAAAACATACTTACAAGCATTCAGCCAACTGGAACAACACAGATTAAGGCTGCTAAAACGAAGCTGTTCAGAAACTATGTGTGTTTAACCCTCCCCTTCCCCCCTGCACCATTTTTCCAGTCTAAATTGCTGACCTCAACAACAGGGCTTTGGCCTCTGTTTGAGGACACTCAGGGGCATCTAGTTGGTAGGGCTCTTGTCTGGAGAACAGTTGTAATTTTGGGAGAACTCTAGGCCCCACCTGGAGACCAGCAACTTTACTAACTGGCCACTATGGGATGGGGAAAAATTGGAAATCCCACCCTATCCCTGAAACTCACCTCTTCTAGGATTCTCTAAGCTTATTTATTTATCTATCATATGGCAGAGTTACATACAAGAAGCATATAATAATATAAAGTGTGTAACCAAGTTGATACAATAGGTATGCAGGTCGATTGGGCAATCCCCCTAAATACTAATGTTTAGGTTTTCAGTCCACTCAGTTGCAGCTGGGGAGAGTTCAAAGAGTTCCATCACATCTGCCTGGAAAGCATGACGCTCACATTCCTGAACTGAGAGAAAGTTTCTCCATTACTTGTGCAATGAAATAGGTGAAACTGTTATTGAACTCCATGTGAATCGGGTAGCTTTTCTATTGAAGTGCAACTTTCCATACATCATCCACTTATAGATTCTTGGTCAAAAGAAGACGTTTGTCGAAACGGCATCACATTCCGGAGACCACCGTCCCGCCGTCGTTGTTATCTTCTATCTTATGTAACTGGATTTGCAATTTGAATGTATTAGTATCACTTTTGTAAATTTCATATTTATAACATTATTGTTATCGTTAAAGAAACATTGAGCGCACTTTACACAGTTCCTGTGGCTCTATCTTTTCATGTCTATGGACTGTGACCATATTTGTCTTTGTGCTCACATTCCTGTGACAGATGGAAAACAGTTTGGCAGACTGCACCAGAATTGCAGTCAGGTCCTTGTATTTTGCCCCATTTAAACAACAGGTCTGCTCAACTGCCAAAGCCTATTCGTATTCTGTTAGCTGTCTTCCATACTTTACGTGGCAAGTCAGATCCTGAGGGCCTCTTGTTGGTGTTTATCAGGATATGGATATCAGGTGGAACTGATTGCATCCATATTCGCAACCATTCATTCCCTAGATTGAAATTTTGTGATTGCAGGATTTGTGCAGAACTTATTGCTGGGTGTCAGGATCTTCAACTGGATAGATCCACGTCAGTCATGTCTTTGAGGATGGGCAACTCTCTGTTTTCAATGATCTTTCTATATTCACGAAGAAGAATATCTTGTCTTCAGAGATATGGGGGAACGATGTGTCACAACATGGGTAGCCAATAGGTAGGAATTGGTTTAATACATCTGCTGATGGTTCTCATTGTTGTGTTGAGTTGAACGTCAAGTTTGTGGACACGGAGGCTGTTGAGCCACACTGAAGCACAGTATTCCACGGTACTATACACCAGCATTTGTGTTATAGCAGATGCATCCCAAGTTGTTCCACATAATTTTTGAAGCATGTTGTTTCGCATGCATATTTTTGCTGCTACATTGGTAAGATGGTGTTTATAGCTCAACAGGGTAATGCCAGGGTACTTAGGGGTATAGTTGTGCATAAGTCTACCCTTAGGTAGACATTCAGTTCACAGTTGGCAAGATTGTTATTTAGATGGAAACAGGAGCATTCTATTTTACTGGACTTGGGATAAGCCACCATTTACAGTAATAGTCAGCCAAAATTTTGAGGATCCTAGTCAGTATTTCCTCAGTTCTTTCAATTGATTTGTGCCTTAGTTCAATCACCATGTTATCAGCATGAGCAAACTTCCTGGATATCATCTTGGGAACATCAAAGATGTATAAACGAAAAGAACTGGAGTG